AAAAAAAAAAAAAAAAAAAAAAAAAAACTAAACAACCAAAAAACAAAAAAAAATTAATTTGGTCTGGGCCTGTTAAATGTTAAAAGGCTATCATAAAATACGCTTAAGACGTAATAGCGCGTAATATTAGATACTCTAGTTAGTTGGCTTATTGCTTAATTTAAATTAATTTATTCATAAACACACAGAATATCATATGTAAAATGATAGAAAAATAGCAAATAACAACAAAATGAACAAACAGAACAACAACAATGCGATGTGTTTAATTAATGATCAGATCCACAGGCTACACCCTGTCCATAACCATAGAGCTCTGGCTTTATTTGCATTGGGTCTTTTCATAAAGACGACGTTAATCATTTGCTTTATAGCCTGCGTTGACGCTAATTATATGGTCAATCGTAAGCGTGTGTGTCTGTGTGCGCTTTTAAATATTTATTAGACATAGATATGCGATGAATGGAAAACTCGTTCCATTTGAGGGCAAACTCGGGAGTTGTATTGACTGACCTTTAACCAGTTTTTTATTATTTTTTATTTACTTAACTGCGCAAGTGTGCATAGTTGTAGGGCCTTAAATAGGCTAAGTGAAGCTCTATGTAAAGGGAAGTAAGTGTAAATATAATATATAAATAGATATATAAATATAATAATTGCTGGAAAAGTATACCAATTGGTGGAAAATTGAGAACATGTTGAGAGCAAAACAATTCACAGCACTAATATCCATAAGCATATCGAATATAAATGTATGTATGTTCGTAACTTATGAATCGACTGCATTAGTTAGCTTTAAAGCTTATCTAAAATAATATTGTTTAACATATTAAATATAATATTTATACGAACTATGCAAATATCCTGCAATTGAAAATTAATAACGAAAGCCTTTAGATTAATTTTGCGTGAGTTAAGTCTTTGTTTCACTTTTAGGTACTTATTTAAGGTTTATATACTGATTTTCTGCATGTGTGTACCACAGATTTTGTCTAAATATGAAATGCTTTATTAGTCATATAAGTTTATTTTACTTATATATAGTTCTTAGAAGTAAATTTAAGAACTCTGTATACATTTTAGGTTTTCAGAGAATAATCTCTGAATATCATACTTCCTTAGGTCTACATATTCCTTGTAGTAGTTGCTTTTTATTTTGATTAATTCTTTTGGTATTAGCTACTGGCTAAGATTCTAGCAAGCCCAAGTCAAATTTACCAGTTTATGGCTTCAATTTTTAGCAAGATATGAATTTTCTATGAAGCATATTTACATCCTATATATGTATATGGATTTTGTCTTAACTCCAATACCAATCCATGCATAACATATAATATAAGTATATATCTTTATGATTAAAATCTATATAGCTACGATAATCTATTGACCTCTTACTAATGCTTATATGCCAATCTTTGCCTATCAACTAGTTATGCATAGTTATAGCTTTGCCTTTGCTAGGCCTTCTCTTTTATTCACTAATTTGTCAGTAGTAATTTTTACAACGGTGTTTTGGCTCTTTGTATGGCCCCACACACCCACGCGGCATCCTATGCGACAGTTTTAAGTGCGGCCACTGCGCCAGTTTGAGAGTAACCCAATTAATGGTCAAAAAGGCATAAAAGACAATTTCCTGAGTGAGCGGACAGACAGTGTTAGAAAGTGGCTCACTTTCGTTACACTGCACAGCAAAGTCACGTTCACACACATGCTCGAAAAAGAGCCCCGCAAATAAAGTAAGGAATGCGTGTAATCGAAAGCTTGAAGATCGAAAAATAAACATGTTAATAATACAATTTTATGATTAATACGAAATGAACTGCAACAACAGCAACAACAACGGCAACAACAGCAGCAACAACAAAAGCCAACAACCGAGGGGTAGTCAGACATGCAAGCTGAGTTGTAGCGCCGTCAAAGTGCGTGGGTCGTTGATGCTGTGCGCCACAATAAACACAACAACAGCAACAACAACAACAACATCGTCCGATCTCAACGAGGTGCACACCGTGCCGCTTATTTATAAATCACGCACATAATGAAATTTCAGCAAGTGGTCGTCGTGTCCAAAAAAAAGTAAAAGAAGAAAAAATATGCAGTCAACAAGCGAAATATGCAGCATCGACGATGAGATGTGAATCCGCTCTGCCTGGAACTGGGTGTGCTTCTTATGATGTATATGCATAGTGCTTCAGGCCAGTTCGGGGCATGGCTTGACATGGCTGGCGACATAATGATGAACTGGTAGATCTGAAGATCTGCTTTCTTTGCCAGCTACTGACGTGTTACGCATCACTTCTGCTGTCACTTTGATAGACTGGGGCTGGGACTGGGGGGACCCGGCGTCAACACTTGTAGTGCATAAGTAGCCATTAATAGGTGCCACATGGACATAACACTATTTTGGGTCTGGGGTGTTTTGATTTTAACGAGTGTTGTTGCTTGGTTGTTGGTCTTTAATGATTGCACGGTTCGTGCCAGATTTTATGAGCCCCATTTCTGGGCATTTTTAAAGTGCCCAGCTTTTACGTGCTGTGTGCCCTGGCCGGGATGAAATGTGGGGAATGCGGCAAGGCTGAATGCATAAAAAAGGGTTCCGAGTATTCACAGAGAATGTGCTTTATGAGCAAGGGCAACATTGTTGTTGGTTCTCGATTTCGAAATAAGAGCAGAGACTTTATTGATACAAGTTTAGGGTCCCATCGGATGGTAAATGTAGGATAATTTGTTGCATTAAATGACAAATTAGGCAGATCAGCAAGCTACATCCATAAATTATTCATTAAGAAAAACACATAAACTCTAAATAACAGAAAACCAGCTTGATGTAAATTATTTATCAATTAGCCATCGATCAAGTTGTATTTCTAATTCACTTATTCCGTGAAAACAAGTTTTCCAGAATCTGACGGCACTCGTTTCCAATCCATGCAAGTTTCCACGTAGGCGTCCTAGATTACTCACGCGCCAAAATGTCCTAATTGGATAGCGAATGTGTAGGATTATTTTAAAAAAAGCATATAGTAAACCTAAATAGACAGATCACCAATTGATATCACATTACATATATAGTATAGTAATATCATAGCCGTTGCTTTGCTATTTGCCTGGCGGTGCATCAATTAGCTATCGATCAACTCTTGAATCTGCGATTTATTTTCCTTCACTAATTCACTCACCGTGAACCACTCAAAACAAGTTATCAACAATCTGGCAACGCTAGTCGCTTAGTCGCTTACGCAAATTTGCACGTGGGCGTCTTAGCTTACTCACGCGTCAAAAGAAAAATACAAACGAAGACAAAATGCTATCGGCTGTGTCTGCGGCTGCGGCGGCTGTTGCTGCTGCTGCTGCTGCTGCTCTGTTGAACGCGTTTCTCCCAGCAGCAACAACACCGCAACACAAACGGCAACAAGCTAACAACAACAGCAACATCATCCAGCAGCCAACAGCAACAACAACACCAGCTGAGAACAAAACAAACTGCAATCAGGCGACGACGACTGCAACAACTGTTGCTGCTTCCAACGCCGCTGTCGCTGTCGCTGCCATCGCTGCTGCCGCCGCCGCTGCTGCTGCTGCTGCTTTTGATGTTGCTGTCGCTGCTGCTACCCTTCAGTGTGCGTTTGCACGTTGAACAGGACGGTACGATTGGTAGAGGTAAAAGATAAACACTCGCGCGTTCGTTCGTCGAGTATCAATTAATATAAACAAGAGATCGCGCGCGCGCGCTCTTGAGTTTTTTTCTGAGATCGTGATCTATGACAGCTTTTAGCGTCGCTCGTTTGTTGTTGTTATTAGAATAATTATTACAGAATTCTAAAGAGGCGAACGGCTGGCTGCCTGTTTAATTGTCAACGCGAGGCTCTCTGACAGACGCCTCGCTGCTCAACATCATTTTCATTTCGTTTGGCATCGCCTTCGGTTCGCGTTGTCGTTCCTGTTGTTAATGGCATAAAAGTGTTTTAATTTTTATTAGCACGAACACCGGGCCCTGCCTACACACGAGACATCATCCACAGCTACCAGAGCAGCCACAGGTCTCCAGGTTTTAGTTGTGCATTTGCTGCCATCGCTGGAGGATCGTTGGATCGTCGCGTGTGCCGTTCGTTCTAATAAAATCAATCGCAAAGATCTTCGCGTGTGTTGTTGTGTGTGTGTGTGTGTGTGTTTTGTTGTTTATGTTTGTCGTTTCTTGAAAAGGGTTTTAAATGTTTTAATGCAACCGTTTTTATTATCGTTTCATATAGTGTGAGGAGACTTCAATCCGATTTGTTTGATCTTACACCAGTGCATAAAATACATCCAAACAACCAAGTTTATATATGAGAAAAATATATATGTACATACATATATACGCACAGAAGTCCGGAAATTGAGTGTGGCAAGATCCATAAAAATAACTTAAGTTGTTGTTATTCTAAATAACGCGTTGACAGCAGTAAGTGGCTGAAGCTCAAGGAGCTGTCCAAAATAAGTGCAACCAAGAAGCTGCCACAGCGCTGTTGAGAGTCCAAGTGGCCAATAGCAAACAGCAAGCGCGGCAACAACGTTGGCGTTGCAACGTCCTTGACAAAGAGGTGAGTGTGAAGGCTATAAAACGGTGTTAAGTAGGTTAAGCAGGCGGGCACAGCAAGTGCATGGGTGCAGCAGAGGCCGCAGCTCACTTGTATGGGAGGCTACAATAGGTGCGGGCGCAATTATAAATAATCTCTGTATATGTGAACGGAAGGAACATGGATTTTAAAAGCCACTAAAATCTTATTTTTTTTGTTTGTTTTATATTTATATTTTGTTTTATTTTCATAGTCTATTTTGAAAGTCGAATAGGTTGAGAAAATATTGTTAATTAAAATGAAAACTTTCTTAATTTCATCTTTATTATTATTTTTATTGTATAGTATTATATTCTTAAGAACTTATACACCTAGCACAGTTTATTTTAATCGGGGGGTTTAAATACTTTTCTGAATTTTAAACTTAATAATTAATATTTCTTTCATTTAATTTTGACATTCCTATAGTTCGGTTTCCTATTTTCTTGTATTCACAACAAGGTTTTTCTTCTTTTTGAATCAGAATAAATATATAAATTAATTGGCAATATATTTTTATGGCAGTTCAACAAATTAGAATTCGCCTTAAAGCTTAGTTTCTTTGTATAGCAATATCTTCTTTTTTTTTAACGTTGCCTTTTGTTGTTTGAAAATTAAATGATCAAAACTAATCAATTACAAATTGCTTAGCAATAATATAAAGCCTAGCCATGCTTTTCAGTCAACGAATATTTTTAAATGGAATTTCTTAAATGGTTCATATATGTGTGTATATTCGAAAACTCACCGCTTGCTGTAATCTTAGCCATATTAATTGACCAATTTATGAATATATTTATGCGGCACAAGAAAACTCCATTTCACCGCCTTCGTATCTGTAGATAAATCATGCTAATTGTTGTTGTAATTCAAATACTATCGATACATATTAATTAGACACACCCAAAGCGGCCATCGGCTGTTGGCCGCAACGTTTGCACATTAATCTACAGATCTCATGTCTTATCTGCATTGGCGCCATAAATACCAGAGTCCAGTCATAATCTATTAATTACCAGACTTTCCACACTTATTAAAAGTAGCTTGAAGTTTATGAGTTGCATTTCAAAGAGCTGAGAACCAAATAAAACTCTGAACGGGATAAAAATAATTGTCAGCTTCATATATTTAAATATTTTACGGCATTCACAATTAGTTTGGCATTTCCTTTTTTGGTATGGCAAATTGTTTGCCACTTTGTTTCACACGAATGCTCAACAAAAACTGACCAAATGCGGAATTGTTTATAGCCTCTCTTGTTGTATGTTTACACATGAGTAAGAGTATGTGTAGATGGGCGAAAAATACATATAAGCGTTACTTGACTTTATGAGAATCGCGGAGAGGGGCAATATTCATCAAGCTACTTTATTGGAATTTATACCAATGCACTTCTCAGAGTTTAGTCTAGATATTAATTAGTCACTGAGTTTGTAGGTAAAACTATGAGAATTGCATAGATGGGCGTAATCTTATTATTCGGCCTATGCTTACAACAAACTTAGTTTTCTTTTTCTTTGAGTTTGGCTTGTCGACTTGCATAATTAGTCAGTCCAAATATTTATATATGTCTAGATATATATAATATATTTATTAGATTTCACCATTTTGTGATTGTTAGTTTTGGCTTCAGTTTCAGTTTCAGCTCCAGCTTCAGCTTCAATTCAATTAAAAAACGCCCACGGAAAAGGCATTACCATAACAATTTATAACTGCCGTCGACGATGTCTCAGTCTCTGGTCTCTGGCTCAGCTGCTTAGTTTATTATTTTGAATATATTACACACTTTGCGGTTGGCAGATCTTGCCATATATGGCCTGGTAACTGTGGCATTATTAAAACATAAATAATATTGCTTTTAATGAAATTTCCGCTTGCCACGTTATGAGTTCATAAACAAATGCAAATCAGCTGGAAAATTGTGGCAACAAATTAGCGCATCATCCAACCGAATGAGTCGCTGTTAATTTGTTTGGCTGCTTGGCTGATTCAGGCCTTAGTCGGAATTAGGCTTACAGATTGGTGAATGCTTTGCGTTGACTGCATTTCAGCACCAAATCAAATTTGTAATTCAAATTGACCCGCAGCACAATGTTGGCTCAAGCGCTTTGTTTGGACTGGCGGCGTCAAATGTGATTCAAGTTCGGCTGGGGCGAAACTTCATTTTAATGGCTCATCAAAATAAGTTAATGGCTTTTCGATTTTTGGCTTAATTACAGTTTAAGCATATTCCAATACAGTTTTGACAGGTTTCCAAAACACAAGCATTGTATTTGGATTGCGGATTCGGGGCGCCAATTTATAACCAGTTGATGAGATCTGCTTCTACCAATTTTGCGGTGCGGTGTTAACCGTATTATAAAATCATTTTAATACTCTGCGCAAAATGCAAATCAAGGTTTGACTGGGTGTGGCCCAGGTAGCCGAGCAAATCACTTGATTATATAGCAGCCATATTTGTGACAAGTTCTATTGTCTGTTTTATGACATAATAATATGTTTTTCGAGGCAGTTTATATGCTGCTGAATAATGGATCTATAGAATGTTAATGTTTATAAATGCGGAATGTAAAACATTTAAATTTTTTATGGAATTTTCTTTGTTATTTATATATTTTAGAACTGATTCACGAAAAAACAATTAAAATGGAAACGAATCTCTTTCGTTTATGCTAAAGATATGTGATTAATAGTCTATAGATGAACAAAGCAGGCCACATGAATATTTTAGAAAGTATTGTTTTCTTATTTGTATTTCGTACAGGTTTTATTCAATGCAAATGCATTTTTAAACAATATATAATGAATATTTATAATTATTCTGTTGAAAAATAATAAAATAACATTTTCTTAACAAGAATCTCCATATTATCGTCACCAATCCTTTCTTTGCTGCTGAGGATGATCTTCTCTTTAGAGATAGCTTAGTCATTCACATGGGAATTCTTAAACAACAATTGAATATTATTTCGATATTTCCAAAGGCCTGAAGAAGCGTATCAATCATATGTATATGGCATACAATTTTCGTACCTTTTGCGGTATTTGAATAATAAAACACCTATCGCAGCTTTTTCCACTAATAATTCATAGGCAACATTTTGTTTTTTGTTTTGACGTTTGATTGAGCCGCCTGGCAGGCGGCAATTACCATAACAGAAATCGGCACTACACTCATATATATACAGACATATATATAATTGACAGACCTTTCAATATTATGAAATAAGTCTGAAAAAAAAGAGCGTTAGCGTTTTGTATAAAAGCTGAATGGCCAACTTTTCAGCTGTCAACTACTGCATATTTGTTTCCATGGAAAACCGAATTTTAAATAGCTCATTTTCATATGCGGACAGCAGTTGGGAAATACATAAATACAGTAATGTCGAAGTCAAGTGCTATTGAAGACATCACATTTATATAAATGTAAAGAAAAAAATCAACAAAATCCACTCCAACTTGCGCCGGAAGTGATGTATAGAAAAATCTATTATGCTCGTGCCATAATGGAACCGATTTATCACGCGAACAGCGCGTAAAATGAGTTCAGTTTTCAATTAAATCCAAACGAGGTCTCCAAGTGAAATATGTATTTATATAGGTATATGTATAGGTATATATATTGGACAAAAATCAAAGAAAGTTTTTTGCAGCCAAATGAAAATCCGTTGAAGAATTTCCCTAAGCAGAGCTTAGTTGGGTCTCTGTTTCTCTCTCTCTCTCTCTCTCTCTCTCTGTTGCTCTAGCTCTCTGGGGACTAAGTCTGGGGCCGGGTCTCCAGATGCGTAGGCGCCGACGTCGTTGCTTTCCGTGTCAAACCAGCAACTGACAGCAGGTTTGCCAGTGCCTCGAACTGGAGTTGTATAGTTGAAAATGAAGTTGGGAGCCGCAACTACAACCGCAGCTGAGCTTGAGTTTGAGTTGAGCATTTTTCGGTTGAGCATTTAAACGCGGCTGATTTGATTTCAGTGACACGACGCCTGCGGCGACGACGACCACTAAGACGACGACGACGAGCGCGAAAACTTGTCCTACCCACACGCGACAGCTTTAAAGCTGCAGCAGCAGCAGCAGCAACAACAACAACAACAGCAGCTGCTGCTGCTGCGGCGCATGCGCAGTAGCCAGCGATCGCTTTTTGCGCTGTTTTCATCGCCCTGGGGGACAGGCAACATGTTGCATGCTGGCGAACGATGCAACAGTCAAAATATTTGAATTTCTAATGCCATGCGAGGGCTGTCCCAAACTTTTAATGGCCATGACTCATGCACGCTCTGCCGCCCTGCTTTGTTGCACCCAAAATATGTTTTATGTTTATTGCCAAGCATAAATACAACTTAATTTATTTTTGCATGCTTTTTTGCGATATTTGAAATGAATTACTAAACTTCTATAAAGATTTGTTGATTATAGTCTTTTATTCACTTAGATGAAGACAGGAAATGGAAGCAATTGATTGAAGAAGCTAGCTTTAGGACAAATTTTCAGAAGTTGTATTGCTCTATTTTGAATACTTTATCCTGATTTTTTTTCTAAAGTAATTATTAGTGTACTATTATTATGACGTCACTTTTCAAGTTTATAGTATAGCATAGCATAATATAGTATAGCAATATAATATAATGACTAATATTTCCTTTGCGAGTTACTTCTTTCATTAGCTCGCAAAATTAATTAACATTTTATAACACACATATTTAGCTGTCATATCCTATGGTCCATAGTAAATGCGCAATAAATAAATAAATTCATAAAATGAATCATCTCTGATATTCACTTCCCGCTCGTGCTACCTCAGTGGCAACCCTCTGTAATGCGTCCAGTTGTGTAACACTTAGGGTGTCCGTCAGTTTACCTACAATCTGATCTGATAGAATATCTTTTGCGATAAGCATCAAATTTCCACCGATGATAAACGGGCTACGCCTTTTGTCATGCGGCCGACAAACTTGTTCGACCGACTTTAAATCGTTTTAGATCTCAGCCCGGGCTAGTGGGTGACAATCTGTGTTGATGATGCTGAGGCTGAGGCTGCTGCTGCTGCTGCTGCTGCGGTCGTCATTTGCGGCTTCCGTGTGTGTATTCGACTTTGCTTAATTAAATGTCAATCAATGTATGCATGTATGGATATATATGTAGGTCTATGCATATACGATCTGTCGTATAAGCCACAGCATCATTGTTTTTGATTTGTGTGCTTTATTAACCTGATATGGCGGCGTCTCTATGGCGACGCGCTGTCATCTATTGAAGACATTTTGGACTTATGCTGACTGCGTGGGCGCTGGACAGAGATCTATGTGAGGAGTGTGCATATATATATAAACAAATATACGTATATATATCTATGCGAGGGCATTAAAAAGTATTTAATAAATTTTGGTCCGAGGATTATGTGTATATACGTCTAGCTGAGGCTTTGTGTCTTTTTTCTTGCATCGCCTGAGTTTTGGAGATTATTGAGTTGACATTTGGTGGGAAATGTTCTTAGCGGATGTCAGTAGCCGAGTGAACTGTCTATTTATACGTCTCAATGAACAATTGAGAAGCTTTACGTATTGCGCATGACCTGAGTTCTTGCTAAGACTGCGGTGAGCCCCAATGCTTAAATGATTTAATCGTGTTATCAATTTTGAATACTTAGGAAATTCTTTGGAATAAAAGTGATAAAATGAACGAGATGTGAGAAGATTATTTTATTTAAGCTTTAAACTGAATCAGGAAAGCAACAGATATTTTTCAGACTAGAATAATTCGATTAAATAAAAAATACATATATTTATTTTAAAGATTATTTACAACCAAATTCTTTATAAATAAATCAGATGTCATATATCAGAAAAATAGCTTTTAGTATTTCAAATAAAAACATTTTATTTATAAATATATGTATATATTTTTTTAAAATATATTTTATATTCTTTTATCGCACCATATATGTGAAATTAAACTTTGTTTTAAATTTTCTTGTTAGTTGTTGCTATGTATTGGATGATATCCTATTGAGTCTCTTATGGCAAAGTCGTTTGGCAAGTTCATAGTCCCATGTTGTTCATTGTAAGTTTCTTTGACAGATCCTGCTTGCTAAGTGTTAAAGAGCTTCGTGAAGACCTAATTTTTATCTTGTGTTTATTCCTAGCCAAAAACATTATTTGAAACAAAATTTAAAAATAAATATTTAACTTATTTTTAGCTAAATAAATGCCACTTAATTGTCAATTTATTCCACTATCTATGCCATAAATTTTAATTAATGTGTGTGACATAAATCTCAGATTTTATGCCCTGTGTCAATCTTGCCCTATATTTTGACTTATGTAAGAGCTTAATTTTTTGCATTTTTTTATTGTCCAATCTCGGACATAAATGGCCTAGACCTTTTCATGAAAACGGAAAAACCTTCGTGCGTGGCTAATCCTAAGTCCCAATAAACCCTGTCAAATGCCACATAAAAACCTTAAACTACTTCGAAAAGCTCTCAGTTAAAGTGGCTGGCGATTCAGCTACTTTTACTACACCTTAGCTGGTAAAGACTGTGTTGTGGCTGTGTCAATTGCAATTCTGACCATAAATGGCGCATGTTGTGCGCCTCAGTGACTCTGTGACATTGTAGCGAGCGTGTCTAAAACTGGCCAGAACCACTAACAGACAGACAGCATATACAGTAGAGAGAGAGAGAGAGAGGGAGGAAGAGGGAGAGAGACAGAGCTACATCGACTAACTGCCACTATAAATCCATAACTGTCAGTCACAAGCTCTTGGACCAGTATTGGCAGAAGCGCTACTCTCGCGTAAGGCTATAACGACATTGCTGTTGCCACGACCGTTACCACATTCCTGGGACACCTTTGATCCAAGTTGGGCAAGCAGAAGATGCTCTGCGTGTGGACCATCGAGCACATTTCTAGCCATGAATATTGTCTAATGGGCGCTGGCCAAGATTTATATCTATTCGTATTCAATTTGTTTTACGAACTCTTTGCTCTGATTATAGAATATTTAATGCTCTGCTGAGTTGATGCAGAAGATGCTGCAATGCAACTTTATTGGCAAATAATGCATACTTATTTACTCAAATGTTTTTTTGTTTTTCTTTTTATTGCACGTTAAACTTTGTGTGTATTTTATTCGTCAATTTATAAAACTCTGCAGAGCTAGAGAGCCTTTGATCAGTCGAGGATTTGGGCACTCGATAACAAATTACCTCAATTGACGGTAGCACATGTTGGCAGTCGGCTTAATTTATGTGGCACAGGATCTGAAGAGTGCTCGTAGAGAAAGTGCTGGAAATGTGTGGTAATGGAGCAATAAGATAAGCAGCTGCCTAGTTAGTTACACGATTTATGGTTTCTAATTGAAATGTGATGGCTGGGCGAGAGATCAACTAATCTATGGTTAGTTTTCCAGATATTTAAGCAATGCAAGCTGTCCAGGCGAATGCATTAATTGCGATATTGATAGCAAACTGATGAGATACTCAATAAACTGGGAAATTGATTCCCTAATAAAACGGATCTGGTTGGATTTTGTAAATTTAAATATAATTTAAATTGAATACCAATTCGTTAAGATAATATAATACTTTTTTTTTCAAACAATTAACATTTTTTGGAATTTTCCATTTAATTTATGTTGTATGTTTCTGTGCACCAGCTGCCTTTGTGAGTTATAAATATGTATTATGTATAATTATATTTGAAATAAGAGCGCACAGTTTCACATAAAATGCCATATCAAAGAGTTTTCAGTCGGCCACAGAGCCAATCTCCTCACCTTGTGTACATAAACTGTTTTTCATGCAGCTTCCGCTCGTGGGGCACCTGAAAAAGCAGACACACACAGACGTGAAATAGAATAAACGAAACAAATGCCGCAGCCAAATCAACTAAACATTTATTTAGCTAACACGAGCCGACGAAAGAATGATTGCAAAAATCCAACATAAATCTCGGCCAAACTCAAAAACCAATAGAAACGAAATAGAGGAAAATAAAAAATAGATATATATATATATATACATATATATAAACTTAAGCTACAAATGCTTTATTACGCCCACAGATGTCCGCCACAGATGGGAGATATACTTAGGCATGCATCTATAATTTATATATGTGCGTGTGCCTAGGTGATAGCGGAGCAACACTTCCGGCACGAAATTGCTGCGGGGCGTCGACATTTTGTACGATGAAATGCTTGTTGAGAATCTCAGAAATGCCTCAAACATTTCATCAAAATGAAAAGTGAGGACGTTTTTTTGTTTTTGCTCGTTAAAACAATTTAATTTAAATTTTATTTATTATTTTTATGGGATTTTATGGGGCAGTCGCAATGCATTTTATGGGCTTTTATTTTTAAACGTAAATAAACAACCACCGACTGAGTTCTGTCTGCTTAAATCTTCTTCATTTGTCTCACTCTCTTTCTCGCTCTCTCTCTTTCTCTGCAGCGGACGTTCGCACAGATCAACTCAAAGTGAAGACGACGACGACGACGACACGACGAGGCGATGAATTGGACGCGCGTGTTGCTAATGGGCGTGGCCGCCCTGGCGCTGACACTTGTGGAGGTTGCATCACTCTCACTGGATCCAGGTAGGTGCCGCCGCCGTTGCCGTTGCCGTTGCTGCAGTTGAAGTTTCAGTTGGTTCATTATGTTTACCGTTGTATTTATGGGCAAACATGCGATAAGCGAGAGCAAATATTTGCCGGACAATTGGCATCGCCCAAAAAGAAAAACATCAATTTAAACAACGATTTATGTAAATCAAAAAACTATAAAAAAAAAAGGAGAAATACCACCCAGCAGAGTTTTTAAGCGCTTGTTGCATGCAGTCGACCTCCCAGCACCTTAAATGGCGTTGGCGTTGCCCGATCACGAGCTGGCCAAGCTGTAAACTGCCAACTGCCAACTGCAAACTGCAATTGGAATTGGAATTGCAATTCCATGCGATGCCGGTGCCTTGTGGGGCGTCGAGTGTGGCACACGATATCGTGAAGGTCACTTCACATGCGCCTGTCAACCGCTGCTCCTACACACACTCGCCCATGACAAATAACACCACAAATGCGTCAAATTCTACAAGTGAGCGAGCGAGCGAGCGAGCGGTCGAGTTTTTCGGTCTGTCTTCGATGAATTCCTTGACGCTCTTACATGAATATTTGCTGATTGTGCAAATACGAGGTCCGTTGCTTTCCACTTTGTTTGCTGGCTTTTCTTTTTGGGTTAACATGCGACGGGATTACAGTCAGCGCTGACCAAAAATAAACACACACACACACACACAGATGTATAATGCCAAGTGTTGTAATCTCTGTCAGGCGCGAAAACCGATCGCCGTTTGTCGTTGTCCGTTGCGGGTAAATAGAGCAAGTGCCATGAGGTTGTGTTTGAGATTAGCTAACATGGTCAGCGCATTGTTTGATTTGGTTTTTTATTTCGGCTGTACATGTGTTATTGATCTTGTAATCGATATGTGTCTAGTATTGTCGTATCACATGCAAAACGGAAGTTTGTGCAGGCTGGGTCTATTTACAAACTGTGAGAAACGATCGACAGTCGATGGTGATTGATATTGTTTATAGATCTGCGTGGATATACGACAAGAAGATAAAATTAAGACATATACACAGCCCCTTCATAACAAATCTGTTGTCTCAAGTTTCTTTTAGTCTGAATAAAACTTAAAAATCAATAAGTATAGAAAAAAATATGATGAATGATGATTATGATGAATTTGAAGATCATCGTGAGACATTAAATTCGATCACATTAAAGTCTTTAGCAAAACTGACTAAAATTTGCCATATAATAAAAATATGAAATCAAATTAAGGTAACTAAAAGCAGATATTCAGATACTTATAAAATTATGTTCCACACTACTCCCTTGTTGCGAACAAATTCACAAAACTACAATACCTTTCACTTGCCAATAAAAATACCATTATCTCTTACCTTGTTGCAGTGGCGTCTGCTGAGCTGGAACAGTTTATCAGGAAGGGGGATGTGGTCATATCCACGCGACACATAAGGTAAATTAAGCAACCTTGAGATGTTTTGGCAGCGTGTTAAACGAGCTTCCCCCATCTGACAGACCCCGGCGCAAGCTGCACATCTCGATTGAGGCCCTGTTCATGATTGACTTTCCCATGCTGAAGCACAAGATGTCCTTCTTCCTGGATCGCAAGCAGCAGCGCGTTACGCTGGACATCAGCGCCAATGGGGCGACCGAGTCACGCAACTTTGAGATACCGAATATAAATGAGACGAGCACCATACGCTCGCTGGCACTGCAGTTCTCCAAGAACCGCATCACACTCCATGTGGACTGCAAGCCGAGCACCTTCCACGACATCGACATGAGCCTGACCAAGCTCTATACCCAAATGGACGATCCAGTCATTAAGCTGGTAAGTGTGGAATCAAACGGGGCGGTGAGCGCATTCTAATGTCTGTTTGTTTTGTTTTTTGCTTTTTTAATTCACAGTTCAGGGAACGCAAGTATCCACTACATTTCGATGCCGACATGGAGCATTCGCTGCAGCGCGCCAACTGCCAGAAGGGACTCCATCGCCGGGGCAATCGACGCATGCTGCGCAACAAGATCAGCGAGCGTGGTAAGTTTATCGATCAGACAGCTCAGTGCTAGTAGGCAGTGCTCGTGTGCTACAGCCCACCAATCTTGGCTCTGCCAATCTTTCAGAGAAGAACAAGAAACGCGACGTGCGTAACAATTGGTACTATGAGCCGACTCTGGCCCGGGAAGGCGTCGATCAGCGCCATCAGGAGGTGCCGACGGACACGGAACGCGGCGATATACCCATCATGCATGGCGATTGTGAAGGTAAGCCACAGCTCGCCATCTTTCCACCAATCACACTGCACAATCACACACAGCAGTCGACATTTCACGCATTGGGCGTGCGTCGCCTTCTTGACAGCGTTTCTGTGGGCTTTTGACTACAGCTTTCGGGTGGAACGGTGGGCTCTCTAAGGCGTTGCTTTCAAATCATTTTTGCATAGATGTTGAACTTGACGATATTATTAGTCTACAGCAGTTGGCGTTAAGTGTCAGGGCATATAATTCAATTAGGCTGAGAGGCTCAGGTATATTGCCTTGCTAATAAGTAAGAGCACTGCGATTGGGAGTGTCCCAGAAGAGACTGTCTAAAGTTTGAGCAGAGCTCCTAATGTAAATCATTGTAAGCTTATTTGACGCATGTCACGTATGGCAAACACAGCAGGTAGATGTCATACGCACACACACACATGCGCACATACGAGCACGCGCTCTGCTTACTGCGCAGTTGGCGCAGCTGCTGCGATTTTTAGTGGGCGCAACAAATTAAAGCAAAATAAACTACTGAAGCCCTGGCCTTTGGCTGGAGAAGATAGCTTATACAGATATATTAATAGCACAAACAAAATATTTTGTTATTCTCATTTAAGATTTCAAATTCTCATGTCCTCATAAAGGTTATAATTGGAAAACATATATAATGGGAAAAACTTCTTTATTCATTCAATTTTTATCGACTACTCGAGAAATTGAGATGTCCTTTTGTTTGCCAAATTCTGCATTCATTTCACTATTTATCCATTTGTCCATACATATATGCACTATACATTTTTGTGAAATTTTTAATTATAATTGAGTATAAATTTCAATGCCCGAACTGTCTTAGCTAAGTATTTTAAGTACACAGACTTATAGGTACTTCAGGAACTCTTTGCATACAATTGATTTGCAAAACAAGCCCTAAAAGACCTGTATCTTACGAATTATGAGTGTGAACGTATTTATCAACTCAATCTGGCTAAGCCTTATTTAATGTTCCATTAATTTAGTGCCCTTGCTGCCACTGGCCGAGCTCCTTACATACCCACAGCAATAACTGTCTTAGCTTAATGAGATAATGCCGCACAAATCTACAGCCAATTAATTACAATATATTCGTATATAAGTCTTGTATCGTATGAGTATGTAAGTACCCACATTCGGATCTGCCAATAAGTCGTCGTCGTCGTTGAGAAACCAGCGACAAGCAGCGCCCACTGAAAAGACTCAACACTAATGAACCGAGAGATATGCCTATGCCGATGCCTATGCCGATGCCAGAGTCGATCCGTGAATAAGTTGTGCACTCGTTTTGGGTACGCTGAGTGCTGTTTGGTCGATGTCGACCCAGCATAATTATTATTTATCTAGCTCAGTGCAAATTCCCAAATTGGTAGCACGCTCTGTACCCACACACACACACACAGACACAGGCAGTCAACTGGGCGGCATATAAATCGCAAAGGCAAACGTAATGAATGACGCCGACGAGATATAGAAACGAAGGTTGCACACTGAAAGCCCAAACGTGGCCGAAACACGATCAACAGATCGACTGCACCCCGAATACAGTTGCCCCGCCCCCGCCCCCGCCACTGTTGCTGCCCCTGCTTATCCGAAGCCTGAGCGGATGCGTTTGGGCGTTGGAGGCGGTGGCGGCGGCGGCATTTTCCATGTTGACAAAACTCACTCAAGCGGACAGACAGCCAGGGGGCAGACAGAGCGACGTGGACCAATCGACAAACAGTTGGAACCGATGGTACATTGGACTAGTTTAGTCGTCGCCGTGTGTCTAACATGGCGTCAGACAACATATGAGATTTGGAGATGAGCTGAGAGTTTATTAATGTACATTTTAAAGAGGATAAGATAGAGGGGCATGAGAAATAGCAGTGCAGAGATGACTCAAATAACCGTGATGGGAAGTGGAAGTGACTGCGATTTTAAGTAACTTTATTAATTTTAAAAGTATATTTGAATATAAGCATACAGATAGTAAAAA